GACATAGCAAAAAATGAATGGCGAAAAAAAATACACCATATGCAAAACTCGAGTTCTGTTTGCTTTGCGTTACTCTCAAAACAACGCACTATGCGCCAGCAACAATGAAATGTCATAAAATGTTGCCATATTTATTTAAAAGCCTTTAGAATGCAAACCTACCAAATCCATATATTCCAACACTGTGTGTGACTAAATTTGGCATTTTGTAAGACTAATTCCGGCCATGCTTCAAACTCTACTAATTCATAATGCCGACACTCTTGTGTTCGAATTCCAATCGCTGTGTGAGCTGTATTGGAATACGACACAGCTTGGAATTAGAACACTATTGAATATTGAAGACTACTTGATTAGGCCTTTAATTAAGAGCTATTAAGCTTTTAATTAAGAAAATTTTAATTTTTGCACACAGCTTGGAACGAGCTGTGTGTGTCTAATTCCAAGCTGTGTTGGAATTAGTTTTTATGTGTCTGAAACCGTCTCTTAACTTAATCAGATCTATTAATTTTTTACCACTTGAAATCAGCAAATACAAGTATACATAACGGATTTCTAATATATTCACAGATGTATTTAAAAGTCTCAAACCATAATATTCTTTCTACACAAACAGTTTATCACTATTTGGTAGAGCAAGGTCAACTATCAACTGACACATTTTTCAATGTTCTCACTGGGTGACGCGCACTGTCTCTCTTTGGATCTCTACATTTTCCTGCCAGACGGCCCAGACCTAGTGTTTTGGCAATAGTATGGCGCGCAAAGTCTGACGTCTCTATTTCAACCATCAACGAATGCATGGAACTAAGAAAAAGCTTAATATAAAGGAAAAAAGTCGAGAAGTGTCGGAATTACCCACGATGTTGGAATATACCGCGTTTACTCTATATTCACAGACTTATTCAAAAGTCTCAAACCATAATATTCTTTCTACACAAATAGTTTATCACTATTTGGTAGTGCAAGGTCAACTATCAACTTTGATGTGTTTTTTGATGTTTTCACTGGGTGATGTGGACTTTTGCTCTGAGGATCTTAACATTTTCCTGCCACTGCCAGACCTAGTGTTTTGCAAAAATATTGCATGCAATAGTATGACGTCACTATTTCAACCATCTACACATGCGTGGAACTAAGACTAAGCTTAATATAAAGGAAAAAGTTGAGAAGTGTCGAAATATGGTGCATTTACCCGATGCACAACTCGAGTTCTGACTGCTTAATTTCACTCTCAAAACACCTGACCACACTATGCGCCAGCAATGATGAAATGTCCCGAACTGTTGCCATATATATTTAATAGTCTTTAGAATTCAAATCTACAAAATTGCTGAATTCTGATGCTGTGTGTGACTAAATTTGGGATATTGTGAGAGTGAGACTAATCCCGACAGTGCTTGAAAACTGTAATTCGTAATTCTGACGCCCTGTGTTGGAATTCTGACGCCCTGTTTGAGCTGTATTGGAATACAACACAGCTCGGAATAAGCTGTGTGTGTCTAATTCCGAGCTGTGTCGGAATTAGTTTTTACGTGTCTAGAACTGTCTCTTAACTTAATAATCTATTAATTTATTTACCACTTGAAATGAGCAAATACAATTATACAAATACCGTCAAACGGGGTAAAAATGGACGGTTTTGAGCGTTTTTTGTTAATAACTTCTTACCATGAAATGTTTCAGAAATAAGTTTAGGCTCATTTTATAGCTCTTTGCGAGGGCTATCGAATGGCATCTTCAAAAAATTTCATATGCTATTTGTAAGGCGCTAGACAATATAAAAGGCTCCTGAATTAATCTCTTGAAATGGGGTAAAAAGAGACACTTGAAATAAAACTCAATTTCAAACATTTGAAGCATGCAGAGTGTACTCATCTATTACTAACAGTGCTCTGAAGTCCTCCTCTTTCATTGTAGATGATGTAGATGTAAAATAAATGACATTTTCTGTGATTTTTACTTGTTTTTCCTTGATTGATATGATATTACCATAAACATTAATTACTGTCAACTGGGGTGACTTTGGGAGGCATTTTTGATTTTGTTTTGCAGACAAAAATGGGGTCGTAAATGCTGGGGTCATAAACAAGGTCATAAACGCCAGAGTTACTTTAGCCATCATTTATGACCCTGCTTTTGTTTGCAAAACAAAATCAAAAATGCGGCAGAAGTCACCCAGGGGCCAAAGTCACCCCAGTTGATGGTACCATATTATTGATGTGATATTACCAGTACTGTATTATTGATGTGATATTACCATATCCATGAACATGCCATTGAGCATTTGCAACAACCTTGTTCACTGCAAGCTTCATATCAGCAGCCTTATAGCATTTTTTCTGTATGTGTAAGCTTACAGGATGGCTTGTAATTTCACACCTTTTTAATTGGGTTAAGTGAATTTACTATAAAAAAATATAACTCAGTACCTACTCACTGCAGTGAGTGACAGAGAGCGCATTTTCTCATCGACAAAAACTTGAGGTCATGGATGGACAGACAGACAGACAGACGGACGGACATGGCAAGCACAATAGTGCTTTTTTCCATAAATGAGAAAATGCGCTAAAAAGATTGTGAAAAACATACCTGAAACAGTGAAACAGAAAGGAAGGTTTTAGTGATAACCATCATATGTTTTGGAGAAATAAATCATAGTTTAGGTCAATTACTTTTCATTCTATGATGCCTGGTGCCCAATTCTAAATATGACATTCTATGCACAATTTCGTGATGACCAATGATGCACTAATTTTTTGATAAGTGAACTTTTTTTTTGCTCAGCAAGGTAAATGTAATCAATATTCTTTGTTTTTATTTAATCAATTTTTTTCTTAACTGGAGCCTTGGCTAACTGAGGTTCTACTGTAAATGCGCTTTTGGGGGTGTCTCGAATAGCCCCAAAGGGGTGTCCCAAGTAGCCCTGCCATGCAGAAATGACCGCCTTTTTTTTTTGGAATGAGATAGGCAAAATCTGTCAATTACGTTTTCAAGCCGACACCTGGGTGCAACTTTTATGTAAGTAAAATTGTTCAATATGGTGAATATTTTTTTTACTACAGACCTTAGCAGAAGTAACTTTTCAAAATATCGTTTGTCACCATTTTTTTCAGGAATTTTTCAAAGCTAGTAAATGTAGTATTTTTTAACTTCCTTTATACTTCATAAATAGGAAAAATGTTGACATTTACGCCACTATATTTAGTTTTTGCAATATTCAAATTAGTTTTGCTACTAAAACAGTTTTACGCCGTGTCGGAGGACTGTCCCGAGTTACCCCGCCCGTCCCGAGTAGCCCCGGTTGACGGTAGACCTTTTCCTCTCTGGCTTGGCTGCATGCTGATGTCCAGGATGGACCCTCTAAAGATAGTTTATGTAACAGTGACAAAGGGGGTGGTATCTAACTATATACCAGGAGGTTGAAGGAAGAACTTCCCTGTGTTGCTATTTTACAAGAAATGGCTTACAAAACTTTACCTTGTCAAACTTAAGTTTTAATTTACGATATTAACTGCCAAAATTCCAAGTAAATCTTGCTCACAAATGTCAGATGCTGTTTTTCATTGGCATCCAGGGGCCATACTTTCAAAATTTGCTAAGTGAATGTAAGTACATATGCTCTATTTTTTGTCTATGATTGATGGATTTTGCTCAAAAGGCGGTCAATGATTGGTTGATGAACCTGCGATCTCTTAACTTTTTTTTAAAGTATGGACCCAGATTAAAATTAAATACACATATTGAAATGGGGGTCTTTGATTTGAATTGTCTGTATAATACAATAAGGAAATGAAAGAGGAATGCTACACCAAGATAGTACTTATTTAAAGTTAGACACAGTGAGGTATTAATACAAAACAGAAATCAATCAGGTAGCAATATCGTCACACTTGACACAATTGTCAGAGTCATCTTAAGTGGTTGCAAAAAGAGGCTGGCTGGAACTGCAGCTAAGAGATGTTGGTTTTCAACTGCCTCAGGGGATGCTTGATGCGCTTATATAGGCATACAACAATGACATCACAGAAGGTGATGTTGTTAATGCTACTGTTAGTAGCATTACAATGTTACTGTAAGGTGATTGTTGACAACCTGATACACAAGACATCACCTACTCAGATGTCATGTACGAGTAGCATACATCTCAATTAAATATCTCCTGTAGCTCCTTGTAGGTATAATACACGATGGTGGTGCATGGATGTCAGCCACATATCTCCTATATATGTTGGTGGTGCACAGATGTCATATCTCGTACACACTGAAATGAATGTCCTGCAGGTGTATTCTTCATTTTCTCTTGGTCCTATTTTTTATTTATGTTGCTTCACTCATTTGTCACTAAATAGTAAAGTTTACAAAGGTGTAAAGTAGCTTTTTTATGAAATACTTTCATAAAGTGAGTGTTGAACATCATTTTTAACATCTGTATTAATCTAATTCAAATATCAGAGCTGTATGGGATTCAATATTTATAACATGTATGATTTTTTGATGATGAATTATTCGGCTTGCTAATTGGAGACCATCAACTGTGTAAGCCTGAAATTTATTGACAGTGGTTGTGTAGGTTAACAATTTGAGGAGAATTTTGAAGCTGTGTGTCCATCTCCTAAACTTTTATATGTATGAAAGAAATATTCATTGACAATAATATTTTTAGAGGAGCTCATTAAAAAATATGTGGCATGTGCTTTGCAAACTTAACCATAACTAAAAATTTTTCCATAAATAGATAATGGATTAATTATTGATGCTAATTCATTCATTTCTAGTTACAATGATATCCATTATTTTATGTTTTTGTACATTCATGCAGGAAGATACATTTGCATCATTGACCTTTTTCAACAAATCTCTGATGTGTGGTAATCTGTTATATTTTTAGTGTTTTTTTATGCTTGTTCTAACTGTTTGCTGTTTGTTTAGTTAAATAACTATGCTTTTTTAGCTTCTTACTGAGTTTTGTTTGTTCAGAGTGAAGGGCAGTGAGGAAAATGCCTGCCCCACCACCACCACCCCCCATGATGGGGCAAGGGCGAGGCTTGCCAGCCAACCGGGGCAGAGGGAAAGCTCCCACCCTCAATTTGGGGGGAAGTGGGGGAGATAAAGGAGCCCTATTGGCTGACATCAGATCTGGGACCAGACTCAAAAAAGCTGTCACAAATGACAGATCACAGCCAATTGTTTCAGGTTGTTTTCTCACCATCCAGTAAATTGATGATTTTAAGGGATACCTTTTTTTCTATTTTCTATTCAATAATAAGTAATATGTGGTTAATTTATTGGAACAAATTGAAAAATTGATTCTCTCCTTCTTCACTTCAAGATTCCATTACAATTATATTCAGCATTCATATGAGATGATATTTTATTAATTTTTGGGGTGCTTTGGTATTCACATTAATTCCTATTCACCTGCCTTGCATTACTCCATTTTTACTAATTGATTTAGTGCTTAATTTTCATCAATGTTGTTTTGTGTTAACATAATCACAAGCACAAAATTGTGCTATAAAATAAGTATAGTAAAACTGCAAAGCTTTAGTTTGCTGTTTGAGTGACATGTACCAGTCCTGCCAGACCCTGACTTTGAGCTTATTGTTGAGTCAGGAACTAACAATTGCAATACTCAGATGGTATTTGTGTCTGAGGTTTGGAGCTTTGTTAGCTAGGCTTTAAACTTTCCAATCATTAAATATCATCTGAAAACCATTGATGGAACTTTGATGCTTTTATCCCTTCTGATGGAAGTGATTATTTTTGTGCATCCTGAAGCTTGAATAAGATGAGGCATGTTGTTACAAGTGAAGTTTGTTTGTGTATAAGCAATCATAGGGAAAATTTTCATCTTAATTATACTAGAAGTCAAAATCACTACCAACATGTGCATTTAAAAGCTACAGGATATTCCTCTGCAACAACACCAATTGCAACTGCATCCTTTCACCGCAGGCAAAGTTACAAGCAACGGACAGGCTGGTCCTGTTTCTCAGTCAAGAACCAACAAATCTGAGTTCAATTCAAGACCCACCATCAATAACAACAACAACAGTAGCAGTTATAACAGTGGTAATGGAGACTCTATATCCAATGGTGGAGCCCCTCAATTAGCTGGGCTCTTTGCTGGTGGTATGCCCAAGCTGCGGCAGACTGGCAGTCCGAATGCCTCCTCGCTGCACTCGTCTGGTGAGGCTTGATCTCATGAATTATGACCTACAAGTGAGGGGAATGTCCTTCACTGAAAATTCACTTCAGCCTTTGTCAGATTGCATAGGAACAAATATCCCCACACTTGGTATCATTGTAACCTCGCAAAATTATGCCATGTGATGAGGGCTAGGATGAGCTCTCTAGGTTCCTAAGTCAAAGTACCGGTACATTATAAATTAAATGTAACTGATAACATTTTGCTTATATCATCACAATTGTATTGTCTAGGTCTAGGAGAATATGCTTCAATGAGACATCTACTATAAAATGAGCTCTCTATGTGCCAAAGTTGAAATCCATTAATCTAGGTATTGAATAAGTATGGATGTAAGGCAGTGGTTCCCAAAGTGGGCGATATCGCCCCCCTGGGGCAGTGGAAAGATCTGTGGGGGTCTCTAGAAAGATCTGTGTTTAACCTTTCTTTTTCAAAATTGCAGCATACTAAATATCAAGAAAGAGGCGTTTGTTTTTATATGTGTCTGTCAAGGGGGGAGCGCTAGAGATTCACTGGGGAGCCAAGGGGGAACCAGCCAGAAAAAGTTTGGGAACCACTGATGTAAGGGATATGAATGTACCAGATATCATTTTCATGCAGCAGGTAATAACAAGGGCAGCAACAACAGTGGTGGGTTTAGAGATAACCGCTTCGGAGCTGCACCTCCCCCTCCTGCGTCACCCCCTGCTGATACAAACAAGGGTGCGGTGCCCCCCAGTCCCAAGGTAAATATAATTTAACTCTTCAGTCTTCACTTTACATGGTAAATTCAAATGCTATTATAATTTTGCTATTTAAAATCAAGTTTGCTGCTGCTATGAGATTCCAAAGTACAAGCTGATCATTTTGTGGCTTTGTATTAATGATCCGAGCGTTTTTACCCTGCTTATTATTTTAATTTTTTTTAATGTTTCATGTTATTGTTCTTCCACTACTACGGTAATTGTTAGAAATAACAAGGGTTAAGTTATGGGTGTTTTCAACTTTGCAAACCAGTGTCAGTTTCTGCAGGCCTCCTGTATGATGAAGAATCTTTAATGCAGATCTTTTTTGACTGACTGTCAAAAAAAATCAAAACTGGCTGTTGATTGTTGATTTTTTTTTTTGTATTTTACTTCTAACAAGGCGTTGATACCTGTACTTGGTGATTATGTAGTGGTGCTGGTAGTTGAAGATGGACAGAATCTTGATGTTGACATTGTTTAGGCTTGTGATTGTGCCCATTTCTGAGGGTAGGGGCTTGTGCTTATGCCCATATGATGTGATTATAGTGGGTAAATGCATCAACCATAATGCATAAGGCTGCTTGCATGCATGAACATAAAACCTTTGGCATCTACAGTTCCTTTTGTTGACAAAGGGAATGAACATCTTAAATATAGCTATCTGGGTTAGGCAAACTTCTTGAAATACTTATTTCTAAAACAAATATAAACTATTTAAAACCTATTTTAATGCCAAGATAGAATTTGAATGCAATGATTACTCTTTTGAAAGTCTAATAATTTCATGTGGGAATGCCCTCAGGTTCCATCTTGGTATTATTTCAAGTGATATTCAAGTATTCTGTGATTTCTTTTAGTGTAGAAATGGGTTTGAAGAAACATGAATTGGTATGTCGGTTTTGTAGATGGCTCAGATTATATTGTGTGTGGTGTGTAAAATGTAGATTGCTTTCTTGAGTGTGAAAGACTCTGCCTCTGATGCCAGCATTTTGAAGCTTATGGTGAAATTGATGCTCAATGCTTGCTTTATATCCCTGTGCTGCTGCTGCTTCTGCTGCCGCCGCTCCTCTACAAACGTCTCCAACATCGTCATCATGCACCAACATCTTTAATGGATATCATCATTATCATTTATCAACATGTACAACACAATTCAATCATGCACCAACATTTACCAATAAATCATGCACCAACATTTACCATTAAATCATGCACCATCATCTACAATAAATGCCATTAAATCCTGCACCAACCTCTACAATACAACTCAATATATTCATCCATCATTATTTGCATTACTATTCTACAACATCTTCTTGCTTCTAAGATTTAATTCCACTCATAACTTTCATTTAAACTTTAATTTTTAATATCTTTATTCAAATATTCTTCATCTCATCCACGAGATTGACCCAATTTCTATAATTTATTCCTTGTATTCTTTATTTCTTATTGATTGCTGAGTACACTTTTCTTTTTTTTTTTGTTTCTTTGGTTTTCCACATATTCCATTGTTTCCCATCTTCACCTGAACATTCCCTGCCTTAACATGCATATCATGACCTTCACCTGCAAATTCCCCTCTTTCATATTCATACCTGCTCATTCACCAACCCATTTGCACACTTGCACTCTACCCACACTCCCAAAAACTGGTAATAAACTCTCCCTAAAAACTGGTGATAAATTTGCTGTAAAAAACTCTGGTGATTAACTCTCCTGGAAACCTGTGATTCACTCACTCCCTCTCCTGCTGCCTATGATACCGCTATCTGCCGCATCCTAGCGTCACCTACTGCAGCCTAGCATAAAAAACACGCCAGCCCCCCCGCCCCCTGCGGGCCCCAAGCCTTCATGTCATCAGCCCCCGCTATCATCACGCTCATTTTCCAAGTCTTCCTCTAACTTACACAGCGCCAATATCTCCTCCCTGCATCCCCAACCTCCCCTGCCCTCATCCTCATCCCTAAGCACTTCATCCTCCTTCCTCCACGATGTTGCCGCCCGCACCAGACCTGCGGCGCTTGAGTCCTATAAGCCCGCTCCTCCTCCACCCCAGGTACGTCTACGCAGTGCCACAAAGGACGCGGGGACTCAAGGCTCCTGCAAAGGGCATATCCGTGGGGCTTGCCTGCCTTTAGAGAGCACGTTTCCTGCCTTGAGTGGGGTTGTACTGCCTAAAGTTGGTTTCAAATGGGGAAGTTGAACCATCAGGGTTCGGCCTCATGTGAGGTTTTACTGTTGATGTTAGGCGACTCACGTGATGGCTTGCTGCTATGCTGTGTTTGCTGATAGCTTAAAGCTAGAGTTGGGAATGCATTCTGTCTCGAATTAGGGTCTTAATTCTACATAGATATAATTACTGAGCCTCATTATCTCACTTGCCCAATGCCGCTTTGCCCTATAATTTTAGGGCCTTGTCCATGACAAGCCCAATAATTTTGGGGTCTTCGGTGAGTTGGTGAACAGACTTTGCTGAAAATCTAATATCAAATTGCACAGACATATACCTACTCCTCTACTGTGGTCAGTTCATGGCCTGTGATTAATGTTCTGATGAGTAGGTATATCATTTATACTTATTAGGCTCATAACTATAATAAAGTTTCATAAACATTTTAGTTTGTGCTGTAACAGGAGTTATTAACTTTTTGTGTTGACAAGGTTTAAACCTAACATTTTAGAGACATTGCCTGTTGGCAATGATATTTGTATCTATAGACTTAGTATTAAGGTGATAGCTTGTTGTGCAATAAGCTTGCAGGTTTTTGAATAACTTGCTATCCTGCAGTGTTGGTGTATTTTTCATAGATTTTTTGTCTGGTATGTACATCACAAGCCAAGCATTGCAATGCAAGTCACTGTTGAATGAAATTGCCAATTCTACAGACAATTTGAATCCATGTGTAATGCTGAACTTTTCTTCATAATGAATTAATGGCTTGTTTGAGATGATTCAAATCAAAATAAGAATTATCATGTGGTCATTATACAACGTTTTTCTTTTATTAGTGGATCATGCAAGTTTTGGGCTCCTAAACTTTTCCCCTGCATTTGATTGTTTTAAAAATTTTCATCAAACTTATACTAAATCTTTAGAATTTATATCAATTTTACTTACTTTGATTTGCTGCTTTGGGATAAATATTTTGTTTTGTGTTGCCATCCTGTCATTCTTGTTGCAGTGAAAATTGATCCCTCCATCATTTTGTGTGGCTTTCATTCATAAATATAATCATCCCTTTTCTCATTACCTGTAATTAACGATGGCATGCTGGTAGTGGGTTATTTTCCCCCCCCCATTGATTTTTTTTGTTTATTATATTGCTATGTGGTATTGAAGTTTGCAAACTGACCATTGAGTCCCAGTCAAGACACAATTCACTTCGGAATATTGATTATGATGAAGTCAAATTTTTCTTCAATGTATTAATTATGTTTCATCCATGTATTCTTCTCTATCCTTAATTTCATCTAAAGTACAGTTGTCTTGAACTGACAGTTCATTGATGTCTTAGTCCTGCTTGAACAATTAAAGGGTTAATACAAGTATTATATTTGCATACATGGTGCCATATCAAGCTCGTATGTTCCTTGCTCTGTCACTTGACACGTCACCTGATTATCACGTTCTATTTTGCTAGAGGAAATTATTCACATTCATACTTATTTATTCATTTTGAACAATTCAGTGCTCAATCATAATGGAAATGCCCCATACCACTTAACAAGTGTTTATAATGTTGCTTGCTCTGATACTTGAAAAAGAGTATTTGAAAAAAGTAACAAGTCTTGGTACAGAATTTTTGTCTCACAAAATATCCTTCCTGTTGTTACCTATGAAATTAAGCATAGGGCCATTTGTCACTTTTAATGATAGTTTTAAGTTCGTTATCAGCATCACATTTATAATGTTGGTCGTTTTGATGACTGCAGATTCATCAATAATGTTAGTGGTCTCTAATAATGTAGGAATGTATTAATGTAGGTTTAAATGAACACATTGATGTTAGTATTCATGTGTGATATTTAAGGAGGAATTAAATATCCTACATTGTACCGGAAAATTAAATAATTAATTAATTATCACATTAATTAATTATTTAGGTGATACATTAATCAATTAATTAATTGAATAAACCTGAAACTGTCTCCTGTATTTAATAAGGCATTAAATATCCTGTATTATACCTGAAAATTTATTAATAAATCAATTAACACATTAATTGATTATGTAGGTAATGTAGGTAATTAATTAGATAAACCTGCACCTGTCTCCTGTCCCGTACAGGTGCCAGGACCAGCGTTCCCTCCAAGGAGCAGCCAGCAGACCCCCCGCCCCCCTCCTCCAACGCCCCCCGCGCCTGCAAGACCGTGGGGCGCCAGCAAGGCAAGCTCTCACCCACACATTTTTTTCAGTGTTTTATTCCACATTTTTGGGGTAGCAAAATATTTTGGCAAAATTTTAGTCACCATTAAGGAATATTATAGTATTAATATTCTGGAATATTGATAATTTTCTAGTGCAGATGAGGTCCTTTGAGACAAATTCAATATATTATCAAATTCCTGTTTCTAACATGCAAATTTACACTCAAAAAGCGGATATTGTCTATTTGTCTATGCATATAATATGGTATATAGGTAATATAATATATATAATAAATATAATATGTATATTATATGTTCTGTAGTGCAGTGCCATGCTTCCCTCTTGTTCTCATCAATGAAATTGTCTGCACAAATCAATTGCTTGCTACTTATTTCCTTTTTCCATTTTGCTTGAGAATATAATTGCTTTATCAAATTTCTCCCTATAAATAAATATGAACCGTGAGAGGAAAAAAGTGTACCTTCTCAATGAAATTTTAATGGAAGAAAAAACAGGCTTCTGCCTCCTGACCTGAAGTTTATAGTTTGATTTTTATAGGAATCTATTGCTTATTATTTGATCATTTAATTTGATTGATTGTTATTTTAGTTATACATTTCTTTATATCTCCTTTAGTTCTACATTTCTTTATATCTCCTAAAATACATTTCATATCTATATGTTTTAATAATAATACTATAATGCCATATATTGAATTATTCATGCAATGTTGATGAATACAATTAATACTGATTCACTATGAGTTCTATGTGTTGAAATATACCTGCTATATGCAGTGTATACAATATAGGTAAGAATATCACTGTATACAATCTAGGTAAGAATATCCCTGCTATATGCAGTAGGTATGAATACCTATCACTGCTATATGCAGAGTATACAATTTAGGTAAGAATATCCCTGCTATATGCAGTTATATAAACAAATATATAATAGTTATATAAACAAATATATAATAGTTATATAAACAAATATACCTACGAGCAGGCAAGGCGATGCTAAACAAAGCGGCGATGCAGTCACGGCCTACGGTGCCTGCCCCCCCTCCCCCGGGGGGATTCCCCCCTCCTCCTCCCAGCAACTGCCACCCCCCACCGCCGCCTAGTCAACCGCCGCCGCCACCGCCGCCCTCTGCCGCCAAGCCTGAGGTGACGTAGCTACTCAATTAAAATAATTAATATGAGTTTAGTAATAAATTATGTTAAGTTCAACAAGAAATAACGGATCAGACTTATATGAGCAAATCAATTAGATTAATTTATTTATTAGTTCAATTTGTGGGGCCTCTCTTGATACTTGGTGGCTTGCAGCTATAAATTGCTGATTGATAGCAGATTGTTGTTATTGTGAGGGTTTATATGTAGCTGGTAAGTGTTCAAGAGTGTATATCATAGCTGTAGCACCAGGACCGCCACTAAGAGCTGTAGCACTAACTGTTGTGTTGTGTGCAGTCATTCAACGCCCACGACTACCACAACAAATTCAACCTCCCGCCCCCGCCTCCTGTTAGAGATTCTTCCATGTCAACTTCTGCGCGGCATTCAGGTATACTGAAGCCCTAACTATTGCCAGATGTGTGTATTCTGTTGTTAATTTTATTATTATTTGTGTACTTAAGCCCTAACTATTGTCAGATGTGTGTATTCTGTTACAATTTTATTATTATTTGTGATGTTCTATTCCATATATTATATTAACTCATCTTGCAATTGCCCAGCGTATAAGATTATGTCTATCGTAAAACTTTCGTCTCAAGCTGACTTTGTAATGTGCCTGAGGTTGTATCAGATGACTTGAAATTCTCTGTATTGCAGGAGATTTTGAGAGCAAGTTCTCTAACTGCTTCAGGCTGAGCAACAAATTCCCTCCTCCGCAACCTTACGATGCAAACCTCAAGAAAGTTTATCCTAGCAAAAACGGTGAGAATGCAAACTGGTCGCATAAACCTAAACCTCGCGCCCCCCTGCCTCCTTCTTGTGCCTCAAGCTCTCCGTTGATGACTTCATCTGGTGCTTCTGATGTTGCTATTGTTGAATGCAACGCAAATTCTGTCACTAGCAACCAATATTCTGGCATTAGTAACAATGTGTCCTCAACTACATGTCATGATAGCGACTATTCGGATGACAGTTTTGATTCTTTCGATGATGATTCTTCAAGTGGCCTGTCTAGTGATGAATCCCTACATTGTAGCGATTCTATTCCTAGGTTTCACTATGACAGACGCAAACAATCATCTTGTGGTGAGAAGAATCTTGCTTCGCCAAGTATGAATCGGTATTTTACATCAGCCCGTGGACCCGCAATCCAGTCACTTTCCGTTGACACTAACTTGTTTCGTGGCAAAAATTGGTCTAAAAGTTTGATGAATTTGGCAGAAGAGAGTCCGCCTCTTTTACCTCCGCGCAGGGCTGCTATACGCCGCGTTGCTGACCGCAGTATAGGTGATGGTAAATTTTCTTCCCTTGGAAAATCATCTCTGAGTAAATCTACCATTAATATTTCGCATGGTATACCTACTAAATCATTTGCTGATCTCGAGCAGCCAGTTAACTTGCCGTTGTTCAATCATGCACTCGATTCTGATGGTGGTATTGATAAAACTTCTCAGCAATGTTCAATAACTGACATGAAACCGACAGCAATAAATTTCTTCCCCCTTTCTTCTGCTGCAGATTCCTCCATTGCATCTTCGGTTGAATTTTCTCCTGATCTTCCCCCTCGGAATTTCAATAGGCAATGTTTCAGACGCAAGGAGGGTAGGGATATTGCTTTTGCTACCTTGGATCAGCAGCATAGCGGAGTTGAAACTCCAGCCTTCATTGGCGGTAGAAACGTTGCAGAAGTTAGCGTTGCCGACGTTCCTCCACCTTTGCCACCAAGAAATTCGCCCTTTGTCTGGCCCCAAGTGAGTTCAAACGTTGCTGGTACGAGGATGAGCCACAGACCAAATGTATCTGATGAAACAACGGATTCTTCAGCTCATCTGCTAAACCGAGACGCATTTTCAAGAAGCAGTAATTATGCTTTGAGGCTTGGTACAACTGATGTTTCTGGCACCGAGAAAACAGATGGAGGGTCTAATGCTTTATTGAGCAGCAACGTTAAGACCCCAGCTGTTGCGTCATCCATTCTAATGGCAGATAGGAAGAAAGGCTACACTGCAGAAGGATTTCTGCCGACTAATGAACGAACTTCAAACTCGAGTGCACTTTCATGCGGTGGAACTTTGCCAGAAGCTTCAGAATCTGCTAATGACTTTACAAATTCTGACTTGAAACGAATACCTTCAGCATCTTTTCATGCAAAGGACGTTGATTCGAACGGAAGCCTATTTTCTGACCGTCCTTGTTTTCGCAGTTCTTTTTCTACAGGAAATGCTGCAGAGTTTTCTGCCTCTACCGCTGCTGCTAAACGGCCCGCTCTATTGCTTAAGTCGCAGTCAGAACAAAACTTCAAAGGATCTCTCCAGAGAAATGTGCCGAGTCAACTTCTGGACGAGCTCTTTGAACGGAACCTTAGTATGCTGGAAGCCGAGAGCAGCTCTACTGGAGCATCTAAAACTCCGAGCATTTTTTCTTTAAATTCAAATTCATCTCTAGATTCTGCCACCATTTATGAGCTTGGATTAGCAGAATTGGATCCTCTCTCTTCTCGATATAACCGTTCATCTGGAGACCAAAAATAATAGCTGACTTGGCACACGCAGCCATCATACTATTCCCTGTATTCTGCTGTGCCTATGAGACTTGCTGCCTCCCACAAGATGAATGTCTACAACTTCAAACTTTGGATGAATTTTCGCGGCTCGTGTACATTTAAAAATTTTATGATAGGGGATTTATTTTCAAAATTTTCGAATGAGACTCGCAATGAAATTCAGAATCAACGGGGATGGGGTGCTGCCGATTTAGCAATGCAGACACTCGGATAGAACGACAATGATCATGATTGTCATTATTATACAACTACTCGCTCGTGAGTGTTTCATGACAGTTTATCTTATAAACCCTTAATTGCTAACTTACCACTTAGTCCTTGCAAAATCTTTTCCCCTGTAAAGAGGCCCATATGTACTTGTGAAACATTGGTACTTTGTAGAATCTAAGTCGCCACAACTATCTAAGCTCGGCAGTAAGTTGTAAGGTACCCACGTCTTGAATTTAAAAGCACCTTTCGTAGTATGTAAATATTTTTAAAGCCTTTGATGGATTCATTAGCACTATATTTAACCTCTGGGGCGGCTAACCTTGTCCGTGGGTCAAATTTGTGTGGTATCTACACTGTTGGTGCTTAGAAGATTTCCTTCTTTCTCTCTTGCATAAATGTTACTCTCAAAGAAGGGAGTGAGACTTTGCCCAAACAGCGATGCATTTTATTGCTTGTGCGTGTGTCATCCTAATCCAGTTTAGCCCGTCAAAAAGGCTTATCAGTTCTACGTCTACCTTCAACTCATGCTGAGAAGACATACGTCACTGCTACACACATTTCACTACTTGTACAATATGATGCATTTATTATTGTGAGTGTGTATGGATAGCTTTCTTGCTGGTATACCAGCCACTGTGAAGAGCTCAAGTTTTTTTGTGCCGGTGTCGTGCAGCGCTGCCGTTCTATCTGCACAAGTCTTACTTGGACCTGCATCTGCCTCGACGTCCTACACCTCGCCTCTCAGCCTCACATCATCAAAATCTCAGCCTCTCAGCCTCACATCATCCTCATCTCAGCCTCACTCTGTCTTCTCCTCCCCATCATTCACCACCCAGACCACCTCACAGTAGACAGGCCGTGAGCCTCATTACTTTCCAGCCTCAGTCCCCCGTAAATCCCCTGCCTCAGTCCCCCATAAATCCCCAGCCTCAGTCCCCACCTCCCGTATTACCCAAGTCCCCGCTGTCCATATATGCTACCCCGCGTTCCCCACCAGTTCCCGTTTCACGTCCCCGTGAAGCAGCGATCTATGCTTCCCCACTGCCTCTGCTGCCTCCCCGCCAGCCACATTCCCCTTGCACCTTCCCTCATTACTATTGTCCTCACCTCGCCCTCCATTGCCCCGGCTTCTCTGCTCCTTCCCCTCAAATCCCTCTTCCCCAATGCACCGCCCACTGCCCTTGCCTGGTCCTCAGATCCCTCTCACACCCTCAGACTCTTCCCTCGTTTTCTTCCCCTCAAAACAATCCTGTATTCTTTGCCCCTAATCCCCTGCATCCTTCTTTTTGTTCATGTCACTCCCCGCGCTATGCGAATATTTGTTATCAACAACCTGAACACAACGCTGTTATCTGCAGCAATGATATGCCCTGTCAGCTGTTAGATAGCAGTAGTGCACGTCATGACGATGTTATCTTACGACATCGTAACGAGGAAATAACGACTCGGCGTCACTATAATAATGATGACACGTCGTCAACGATACCACACGTCATCTCCCGTATGCACATCGTGTCGGTGAAACGAGATAAAATTACCAACAGGCTTTCTTTGGCCTGATGAATTCAAATTGAAGTTGACGAATTTCATTCTGCCTGATGAAGGTCTAGAGAACAGGTTAAATTATGTTGCTCTTGTTTCTGTTATTTTACTTTGCAATACGACTCTCGGTCTGATATTTTTCTTCTCATTTCTGTTCAGTTAGATCTTGTGTATTTTTGTCGAGTGGTCGCCTTTTGCCCTATTTATGACGACCGTTTCATGCCTTGTTTGGGAGCGGCTGGTTCATAACTCAATATAATAACTTTTATCTTGTGCTCTCAAAGCTAAAATGTTATTCATGCTGAGCCATGCTCACTCAAAAGCTCAGCCAAAAACGTTCGCAAATCCTTCAAATACTTACTTCATCATTAATATTTTAATAGTTCCGCATAAAATGAAACAAATTAGAATGCCGGAAAGCGTCGCGTTTGTTGGGTTTACGTTATGAGACTGAGAAGCTATATTGTTTAATTGTTTATTAATATTTTCCTGACAGTTGAACTAAATGTGCTATTTTATTAGGTTGTATTACCTTCAATTACCTCCCGAACCTACCCTTATGTTACTCCCGAGTGGTGATCATGTATGTCATGTCATGCGTATCAAGCCAAGCACGTCATGCTCATTCCAAGCGTGTCATGCTCTCTGCATACGATTCAGAATCTATCATTCATACCATTCAGCAATTATTTCTTTAGTTGTGAGGATGCTTCGAGATCTTCAGAGTTCATCATAAGAGAGGCAAGATGATTGCGGTGTGACTCAGTAACAAGCAAGGCTTCCAACCCATCCGTGCGACTTACTACCATCGTCTTCTTACCATTAAATTTGTTCTGTCTGGTCCTTCTTTAACAGAACTGCTGGTCAAGTACTATACCGGTAGCGTAGAACGGTTGCCAACACTAACTCTTCGTTTAATCTGATGATCAAATTTATCACCATATTGGTGATGAAATTCCTTGTTCTTAATTATTTTTGATCCTTTGAATTTAAATTCCAAGGACAGAATCATCCCTTATTTCCAGAATCAAGCTTCTTCTTGTTCTGTTTAGTCTTGCAAGTGGTGTGATGTTGTATCTCGTGGCGCTCCACTGTCTCACATATTACATGTTGCCTTCTTATAAAATAGTAATTGTTTCTTTTCAATATGTTATGTGCTCTACTGCCTACTTCTGTACTAAATATACGAGGCGGGGCAAGACAAAAACTTTTTCTCTACGTCTCGAGTTCATAACTTAGATGTATCTCGATTTCATTGCGTGGGGTGTGGGCTAAACCATTATATTTGTGTTGCTCAGTCCCGTATGCTAGAGCTTTTGGTTTTATTGTCTTCCATTACATCATAGTTCTCGATAACAGTAATATTTTGCCTCAACAGGAGACTTCCAGGATAGCGAAAAATTTGCATTTTCAATAATTCTGTGGGCTCATCGACATCTATCCTTAGAGGCCGTTATATTTAAGCAGCTTATTTTTTTCTCGTATGTTTGTCATATTCTCGTCATTGATATTAAGCCATTGTCTACCAACGGTAAGTTACGCGGGCTTCATTTGAGAAATACTTCTATGATGGTTAATGCATTATTTGGCCAAGAGATAAATTGTTATTCATTATTAATATACGTTAATAATAATAATTATCATATGTGTTAATAATTATCGTATTGTTCTTGGTTGTCTGTGTGGCTGTGTTTCTGTTTGCTGTGTTTGGAAACTAGTGCTGCTGGGAGTGTAATTCTGGCAGATTTTGTATATATTCTAGAATAAAGATTTCTCTATTCTAGAATAGAGAATTCTCTACTCTAATGTAGAGAATTCTCTATTATGGAGTTGAAAATTCTCTATTCTATAATAAAGAATAATGCGGCTGATGGTTTCAAAACTGATAGCGTGGAGTGCCGATCCTGCCTTCAGTTTTTCTCTATTTAGTTCAGAATTTAATGAACATTCGAGAAGATAGTGAGAGATGAATTGTTGCATTACCTTCTATTAATTGATTGATAAGAGCAATTATTTCGGATGTTGAATTACATCTTAATTCTCCAGGTAGTACACTCCCCGAGCCCCGTGTTGCTTCCTGTGCTGTCCGTGCGCTTGTTAATACTTGTTGTGATTTTGTGCAGCAAAACCTGCCAGTCAACGACGAGCTCCTCCCCCTCCCCCTGGTGGGCCTCCTCCCCCACAACCTCTACAATACTCCCACTCACCTCTCCCCCAGCCTCCCCATGCGCCCCTCCACGTTCAAGTGGGAGGAAAGATTTTCGGCACTGAAGCTTCCCACTGCTAGACATCACAACGCCACCCTTCATCTGCCACAGCCACCAGGACCTCCACCAACATCACTACCACGAACGGTAAAGCCACCAGCACCTATCGGGAAATGGTTTCCGGCGCTTCAGAGCCTCACGCTACCTCTAGACGTCATGAGGGCAATTTAGGTATAATATACTGTAATATGGCCGACCTCGGTTCAAGGCAACTCGAAGACAAGTCTCGTGCTACTCCTGATGGTGGCATGCCACTCGGGTACTTGGTTCCTACTCTTCGCATATGTGACGCCGTTAATGATGATGCAGCAGACGTGCGTACGCCCCTCAGACGTCAGTCACATCCTGTCATCCCGCATGCCAACGTACTTAAGGATATTAATGCTCTGAGCATGGCTGTTTTAGTGCACTCAGCGAGCGAGAAGAATCTTGCGACCATTTCACCTCGACCTCGTCGAAGGCCTCCTCCTCTCAAACCCAAACCTGTCATTACTTTTCCTTTCATGTCACACCCGAATCAGGGTCTTCCTCACAACATTCTTCCTGTGCAAGTCGGCAGACCTGAAAGAGAGGTTCTGAGTCCACCTAATCTCTATATTAACGGAGTTTCGCGTGAAGGAAATCTGTTAGTCCGCGATGTTGACGTGCGTGTGAGACTGAGGAGGCAGAACCGGTCTCTGTCGAGCCCTGATATCGGACGCGTGCTAAGCCGTTCCGACACTCGATGTTATTCACCACGGAAATCCAGTGATGATTTCTATGTGCTTCCTGGTCGCTCTGAAACTTTGAAGGCAAATTCATCCAGAACATCGCTACTGAACACGAGACGTCGAGGTTCCCCTGGCTCTAGCGCAGTCACCGTCTCAAGACACACGAGTCATCTACGACACCAGATAGACAGCGGCGTCACAACCTGGCGCCGATTTGTAAACAACTGGAGAAATTGAACTAAAATTCTACCAGCTACAAATAAAAGATACTTGAAGCGTCCCTTTATGTCAATATTTAGGTTATAACCTTTCTTCATCATTTATGTTTACATCTCTAGATTGGAGAACAATTTTAAAAGTATTTTCTGATTTTAAGCGGTTTTCACGAACCATTTTGATTTTCATTGTGTTGTGGTCTGCTTATCGCGAAAATTGGCATTCAAATTTTCTTCCTACCAAGCAATGCATATTTTTCATTTCTCAAAACACAATACAAAACAATGACTGTCCATTTTAAAGTTGGAGTTTTCCTAAAGTTGGAGGTCAAGATATTACCCCGACTACAGTTAGTTGAATTTATTGCTATCGTTATTACGGAAGAACAATGTTTGGTACCACTTAATTATTGCTCGAGTATTGCGGTCACTTGGTCATCTTACACATTGAATTGAATAATGTCAAGAAATTGAATTGAGTAACAGAGAATGCCAGCAGCGAAGTAAAGGTAAAGCTCTTGTTTCTCCCACAAATGATGCAGTCTGGCCTAGCCGGAGATGCTGAGGCTACTTCTTCTACTTTAGTCTCAAGTGTTATTGGTGGTGCAATAGTGACATGAAAGCTGCAGTGATGTGGTGTAGGTGGTGTTGGTGGTGGCAGGAGGATGTTAGGCTAACTGGTGTCCAGCAGTGATTGAGATTTGCCTTATGAATACATTTCTTCGTTGCTTGTCTCCTGTATGTGGGCTTTTAATTCTCAGTGATTCTTTTAACGACATTGTATTCCTTGCATCGTAAAACGGGGAATTTATGATGAAATTTTTCGTTTTATTATTTATTTTGCTTATATCTAATTGTGATTTTGCGCTTTTTTGCTCTTGTTTTCCTTCTTGAGAACTTAAACCTAACAAATTTTAATCTTCTTTGTACCATTGAAATTTGTGAAACCTGTTCATTACATGTTTAATTAAGAAGAACGAGAGTCAAATGTTAAATTGGAAAATTGGGAATTTTAGGTCATCACCATGATTTATGAAAGTAACTAGAGCATTTCACTGTCGCGTGTCTTTTGTTGCGGCAGAAAACTTGCCCGGTATTGAATTACCGATCATGGTTGCCAGAACACGTGCAATGCTGGGGGTAATGGATACGCAAATATCCTCTTCAAGTGGATCATCAATCCTGCACCTGACATGTTGGGTATTTACGTATCTCTTGTTTAATGCGTAGCTATTGGGCTAGACCAATTCCGTTAAAATGTTGCCCGTTGTTCTTATTTGTCTTTAGTGCATAATTCTTGTGGGTTTTATATAAAGATACATTTGATGAGTAAAATCACTGCACTTGGCAGGAATTACGCAATATCAGGGTAGAAAAGAAGTTGGCAGATATTTCGGTAATAAAAATTCCTTTTTCGATATTGATTTTAAACTCCAATGCAATAATTACAAAATATTCTTGTGTCAGTTTCTCAGTTTTAGTCTTTGTTTCAAGTAATAATCTATACACGAATGAGGCTTAATCCCTGTATTGCTGACTGTATGGGGAGTATGAGATACATTGACGCGCAGTCTTGTGGGGGTCCAAGATACGTTTTCTTCAGCCTTGGTCTGTTGATTACGAGTGCATCAGTTTTTAATTACCTTCTTGTTTGTGATTCATGCAACGTCTTTGATGACAGAAGGAAATGTACTTGTTAGAGATTTGATTTCATGAAGCAGAGTTCATTGAATTATTCCAATCCGCATCACGTATCAGCTGGACTATTAAATAAGATGAAAACTCTTCATCGTAAGCGTAACTCCGGTGCTCTCATTCTTGGTTATTCCTCATCATGATGTGCTTTACGTTCCTAAACTTGATTCACACGAACTGAAACTTGTGTTGTTACAGAGAAAAGTTAGAGTAAACGCCTATCAGACAATTATGAGTGTATGATAAAGATATCGTGAATGGAAGTGAATGCCGACACAGTTAATAGATAAGTTTAACACAGAACTCTAGTTCACTGCACCACAACTACAACACCGGCGCTGTGTTACACCGTGCTATCTAATTTATAAGCGTGCTTTCTAACAAATTCCCTTTATTCATATATATTGAGTCAACGAATGATCGAGGCCATATATATACCTCCTAAGTTCCATCACCTTCCGATGGTAGTTGATTTATTACTTATATTTGTCGTTAGTAGTCGAAGTCACTTGATTTGTTTACGCTCAACAGCTGCCCGAGACCACGGATCTTTAAACGCTCACGAGTGCTCCTCATGCCTTTGTTTACCTCTCGTCAACACTGATATGCTAGGGGACTAGGCTGCCTCATGCGGTCCCAGTCCACTGCTGTGTCAGCACGAGAAAGCAAGGTATCACTTGGCACTACGTATACCATTATTTACTATGACGAGTTATATGTTACTTGCCCACTCGCTTATTTCACTTGCGACGATCGTCTTCAGCACTCGCCAAATGAGTTACCTTAAGAGCCTTGTTCAGTCGATTAAATTCATGATTCATTGGCAGTTAATTCGGAAGTTGGGCCTATGCCAGGAAGATTTGGATGCATTATTCACATGTAAAAATTTCTCTGACTAAGAACTTTGTGAATGTGAGGGTTGAACATCAACGTGAAGCTACCGTACTGGTACTCGTTCTAGCTGCAGTTTTACCGAAGTTATTTTAAGTCCTATCGTTCATGAATTCGTTTCCGCGTGATGGCATCAGCGCTCTTAAACTTTCTCGAACGAACGAAACTGTATTGTTGAACCAAGTCATAGCTGCGTATATAAATACCTCCGTTAGTCTTTTTTTCGTTGCTGATTCTACGTTCGGCGCTTAGAAGATAAGCATTTTGTAGCTTCTTCTAACACACTGTGGATTATTATAATTATTATGTTTGGGTAATTTTTGTATCTAGAAATATCAGTGGAGGATAATAATTCCACCATCGTTTCACACTGCTGGTCACGTAGCTTGGACCATCCCTCTTTTAATAGGTACGTCTGTTTGCTCCGCATACCAACTTAAAACTAGAAGGTTATGTCATTCGAAAATTTTTTGAAAGCCGTTTGAATTTATATTTATGTGGAATTTTTTGCGATTCTACCGTCTGTATTCTGAAATAAATTTAAAATCGGAGAAAATCTTTTAAACATAGTTCAGTGTCTCACAGTAATGTGGGTATTGAAATAATGCTGGAATAAGGTACTAAGAAAGGCTACAGGATTTCTAGGGTTGTTTGTCTATGTAACTGTGGTAAAAGGTATGATTGCCGAGCTTACAAGAAATTTGGTGTACTTAATTGCGTAACTAGATTACATTAATAATGAAGCGTTGGTCAAATGCCGTTTGTGTTAAGAGTTGTTTTAGTAGAGCGGGAACCTTGATTGCCTGAAGATTAGTTTGACATATTTATAATTGCTATCAGTCATTGGTTTATTAATGCAAGCAGTTAAATAGACGCAACTTTCTAATTAAGAAAATAATAGTTCATTTTATCCTGCAATTTTTGTTCTGTACATTGTAATTTTAAAGTCTGGAATGTGATGAGCTTGTTTGAGCGCATAAGGAGAAAAGTACAGATCTAGAAATGCCTTAACTAACTTGTCCAGTAAATCGACAAGGAAACACAAAATTTATTGTCTATTAAAGTAAAATAACTTGTCTCACTGAATTTACTCCATATTAATAGGAAATTACGCATTCAGGTTATTGCTTGTAAAACGAATTGATTGTGTTGAAGAGATAATTTAAACTATCGTACCTATCGCTTCAGCTTACAGAATTGGAATATTGTACTTGTATTGAAACTTTAGTAATGGCTTGCAATAATTTCAGGTCTCGGTGATACTAGTTAACCATTCAAGCCTCGTAGTCCCATGCCAATAAAATAATTTTGCTTATGCTAATTTTGTGTGTTTCTACTCGTGCTCTCTCCAATTATATTGGATTTCCATTTAAATTTCTCAGTAGACTTCGTGACTTGTAACAGGCCCTAAGGAGTCCGTTTCTTCGTGAATTACTCCATTGTGATGGGGGTAACCAGTGATAGTTATGGGCCGCTTTAGCAGCAGGCTGGAGAGTGAACAACTATTACTTGCAATCGGAGTTTCAGCTCAGTTCAGAAGACTGAACTTTCCTTAATTGGTGAAGAAAATTTAAGTTTTGTATTAACTTTTGCGCCAGTTATTGATGTACTTCAGAGTATCGCTAACTAGTAAGTTAGCTTCGAATTGCTTCAGTTAATTCTAGTATTTTGTCTTCAGCATGTCGGGTTTCTTTTAAAATTTATTCTTTAGGTTATTTTTTATTTGTTCCAATTATTTTGTGCGGATCTAGTTTGATTCCCCACATTTATAATGAAGAACTTGTGAACTGCGTTAGCAATATATTTATGCCTATTGTTAATATACGACCTGCATTATATAACTGCTGTATCTATATGCTGTAAAGAGAACTATTTTTTAAACACTCCCGTCGTGATACGAAGTGGAGGTCAGTGTATAAAATAGATAAAACATTATTAGGTACAGCACTAGCTTTCAGCTAGCAATTCTGAAATATTTACTTCTGTTCTGTATTAACTCGTATTTTGTGCTATGTATTTCCCTGAATTTTGGAGGAACGTATGCATGTTTTTCTGCCTTGAAAGTATCAAGTAAATATTGGTTTTTGTGTTGGAAATTTAATGTGAGCTTTGTTTCAGATACTATTATTCCTCATGAAAGCTGATGAAATGAAATTAGTCTCAATTTTGATTAGAACTTTAAGCTTGGCAAATTTTTCAATTCCCTCAAAATGTTCGTTAATAATTTCGGACTCGCGATCCTTGCTTTCCTGTCCTGCGCGTAGCACGCAACGGGGTTTACGCTCACTTCAAATTACTATGCAATGCATTTACGCATGGTGAGCTGGTCTTCAATATTGCTTCAGTTTTTAGACGCCCTAACGATTTTTTTGCGATATATACTAAGTCGTGTGAAGTTCTTGTAAAGAACTCTTTTGTAGTTAATGTTAAATATTCTATTTTTGTGTGCTTGTCGATCAATATGAAGCGTGTCAGATTATTGTAAGTAAAACTGTACCTCTTTTGTTTACTTGATACCGCGTCATTTGTCCTATACCTGACGCGGATGGCTTAGCCCATCATTCTTCGTTGGGAGTATATAATAACTCGCTGTAGCGACTTGATTTTCGTAGCTGTTTGGAAAATCTTTTGTGAGATAATGCTGTTAATCTTCCCTAAAGAGTATAATCTTCCTAACCTGTTCTTTTTTATCGTTTCATTTGTCCTTCAACAAATCATTCTTGCACACGAACGGTGCTTGTCGGATTCAGAATGCCTCGGTATTACTGAAGCCCTAACTGAATTCATGACATCAAGAATTATTAAAAAAATTGAATTCAAGGTTTGTAAAAATCTGCACCATGTATGAATTGATTTCAATTGGTTTCAGGTTATATTAACTTGGAAAAAAGTTAGCATTTCTTCGAAATTAATGTTGGGAAGCATTGCATTCATTTTTCGTATTCCAATAATGGTTGCAATTGCTCTCTAATGTAAATTTAAGTAGTGTTAATACTGGTATAGGCGAAGCTATTCTCAAGTACCAATTTTTGTACCCAGATTTTGTACCAATTTTAGGATTGTAACTATAATATTTTTAAAATTTGTATCCAAGTGGATGATCAAATGTTTCGCGCAAATAATTTTGGTTATGAATATGAATTGACCTCTCCTCTCTTCGAAGTTCGAGACAAAAGCAGTTGTGAGATTTCATTTCGTTTTTATTTTTAAGTATGTAGAGTCTAATTTATGTTGGCTATTTTGGTAGTCCGATATTTATTAGTGAGCTCTGAATTATTGCAATTCGTTTTCGCGAGCTAGTTTACCGCCAGTAGCTTTTCTTTCGATTTGAAATAGATTTTCACGATGGCGAAAATTTAACATTGAAAGCAGCGATAATTAGTACGATGGTCAATTTTTGGGGAGCTTGGGGATTTGAGTGAAATAAAGAAATAATTAGTGTATATCAGGTTTGTATCCGTGACTACTGATTAACTACTATTATATCGAGATCTTTTGGAGTCAGATCAAGCAGAAGAGTTTAACTTATTGTTAACACCGGAATTGCGAACTGAGATCGGATAGATCCTGCAGCAGTAATGTTTTTTCGGCTGCTACATGCTTGCTGAAATTGTTCATTATTTACTATGCTTGAGGGAGTTTCGATTTGACCGTGAAAGTGAGAAGACGTGCTGTGTGTTATCCCAAAGCGCAAAGTGATATCTGCACTCTGCAGATCATTCTAGATAATCTAGTCTTCTCAAAGTCAAATCTCTTTGAAAAATAATTAAAAATCCTAAAGCAGAAAATTGATCATGATGAAAACTAAGAAACATCCAAGTCTGGGATCAAAACCTCCAGACAGCCAACCGACTACTTCAACTTCGAGGATGCCCAAGGGAAAAGTTGACAACCTAAATGCTCACTCTTCATCAGCCCCAGTAAAAACAGCCTCAAATCTTCCAAAAGACCAGGAAGAAAAGCAAGTACCAAAGCGAAAACGCCACNCCCCATTACAACTGCAAAAATTGACTTCTCCCTCCACTCATCCAAGAAGCAAGACCTTCCACCCACAGCTTGGCAAGCTTGCTTTGCGGACCTCCTCCTCAAGTACCCATCCCACTCACCAGTCTTCTGTGATGGCTCAAAGACCACCAATCAAACAGCAGCCGGTGTTTGGTCACAAACATTCTCTCTAATGGCAAGACTAAACAGAGAAAATTCCATCTTCACAGCTGAACTTACTGCCATCTACTATGCTTTGATGTACCTGAAAGATAAGGAGGGATCCTATCTTCTGGCCTCGGATTCTCTCAGCTCTCTGAGAGCACTGCAGAATGCCCACACAAAATCTCACTTTTTAGTCCTTAAAATCATCCATCTCCTATCCACTATACCAAATAAAGTTATCCTTGTCTGGGTACCATCACACTCGAACATTGAGGGAAATGAAAAAGCTGATCAAATCGCTCGGGAGGCTCTAAATCTGCCACTAAAAGTAACACCATCCTTCTCTGACCAAGAAATCAAGCACATACTCGCATCCCACTACCATTCCCTGTGGAAACTACAGTGGGAAGAGTCTTCTGCAAAACTACGACCATACAAAAACTCCCTCGGCCAAGCCCCATACCTGCTCATCAAGCGATCCCACCAAGTACCAATTTCTCGCCTACGCCTGGGAGCGACACGACTTACCCATGCACACCTCTTCACTGGACAACAACCAGCTTGCTGCCCTACCTGTAACCAAATTTGGACTGCCACTCATCTTCTACTAGAATGTCCTCAGCTACAACATTCAAGACAGCAACTGGAACAGCATTGCAGAAAAATGGGATGGCCCTTGACCCTTGCAACATTGCTTAGAGATGAGTTCCCTGCAGAAAAACTTGTAACATACCTGTCCAAAGCTGGCTTCATTGACCAGCTGTAGTAAAAATTACACCCTGCTCTGAACAAAGCACCTATGTCCAAGAAGACTGGTGCTTAAAGATAAATCAAGATAAATCAAGATCAAGATATGCTTGAGGATCAGCAGAATGAATTGCGGATTCCGAAAACGCAGCTGCTGCAGGCTAATGAATGCAGGAGTTTGTGGCTACTATTCTTGTTGCAATGAGAAGTTTGAGAACTAACCCTAAATAAAATATCTTGCGCTTTTTTTACAAACACCACAACTAACATTGCAGCTGTTGCGTATGAGTTAGCTTTGGATGGCAATTTGGAGGAGTAAAGTTGAAAAAATCGTTTACTGTAACTGGTCCTGGACTCCTGGTGTACCTATCAAATTTTTACAGTTTGAATTGTATGACGGCGGATTTCACCGTTTTCACGTTACGTTTCATGTTGAACAATAATAGATGAACAAAATTTACCCGCTTGAGTCGCTTCCATGCGCAGAATGAGCAGGAAATCCTACTCCTTTCACGGAGTGAATGATGGTAAGCATTTAATATTTTGATGTTGAAATAGATCTAGTTTTGTTGTTACTGTTATCACCCAGCACCTGATGGCAGAAAGGCTGACACCTGCAAGCATTTTTATTAATTTACCAATAATTTAACTATTTTACTATATTCTTGTTCGTTAATTTTGTCAGAGAATTGTCTGTCAGACTAACATTAGGGTAAACGCGGTATATTCCGACATCGTAGGTAATTCCGTCACCCATAGTGGCAAACCAGAGCTTTTTTAGAATCAGTTCATTTTTAATTTCCTCAATTTTTTCTTTTTCCGTGTGTGTGTGTTCTCTCTTTGTTTCAGATTTTAACTTTCAGAGCTGTTAGAGTGTTAGGTACCAATTAAACCCAGTTTAGGCAAGGGGCTTTATGGACTAGCTTCCAGTGCTCCTATAAGAATAAATTAGAAGAAGAAGACGTCGGGAACGCCGAGAAGACATAATTTATGTTGTAGGACAGTAATTGGATCATTTGAGTGTTATTCTTCTGCACAAAAAGATGGCTGCACTAAACCACAATATAAACATCGTAAATTTGCCAGATGTAGTCTTGGAGAAAATTTTAAGATTCATGACATATGATGAAATTGCAAAAACTAGAATTGTGAGTATAGAATTATGGATGCTTTGTAGTTTGTTCAACAAACAAACTTTGGAATTGTTGTAGCTAACAAACTTTGTTGGAATTGTTGCTACAACTAACTCAAATTTTCAACTTACAAAATTGAGTTTCGGCCAAATACATGTTACGAAGTATTTTAATTTTTATAACAAATGTATTTGAAAAATCTTCTAAATCTAACCTAAGGTCTAAGGATGATCAATTTTTATGGTGGCTTACCTAATACCCCGATTGGAAATTTAAGGTAATGATCAGGAGTACTGCTTTTCAAAATTCTCACGGAATTACACCAAACCGCCATTGCACGGATTTTGCCACTGTGGACAAGGTGTCAGTCATGTCGCCAAGATCGCCCTTTCAAGCTCAAAATTTTGCCATTGTCATTGGAGATCTGTCGCCAGAGCATGATTAGCCACTAAAGTTTGTCGCCAAAAAAAAATCGATCAATAAGCCATAATTAGGCTTTTTTGTCAACAGAACACAGTAACTAGTGAAACTACAGTCTACTATGATTGGGCTCGATAATTCATAATTGCACGGGTTACGGCGCGCTGGGAAAACTGCCATGATAAATGAGCTCATTAAGATATTTGTACCCCATTTAATTGGGTATTCCATTTTAAAAATATAAATTCAAAATATAATTAGGCCAATTCTATTTACAACAAAGAAATTCCAAACTGACAAGCAGTGTGGAAATCCAGAGGGGTAATATATTAACTGGTAAACATAGCAAATTGGAAAGCAGGACCCAAAAATCTGGAACGTCCAGCACACTTCCACTTTCACTCCATCATCATCACTGATGAGTCTCTGCAAGATGCCACAGCTGTTTCTTTGAAAAAAAAAACAGTGCTTGCATCATCACGGTAACAAGAATCCAATCAACGCTTGAACGCGTCCAACGTAACAGTCACAAGAATATGAAGAATCCTATCAATTCTTGAACGCGTCCAACGTCACAGTCAAATGAATCCAATCATTGCTAGAACGTGTGCAACGCCAGTCATAAGAATCCAATTACCATCAGAACGCGTGCAACGTCACTGCCATTGTAATCCAAACAGCGTTAGAAAGCTAGAATGGACCGCCCCTAATGCACACATTGTTAACGCACTAGTGCTAATTTAATAGGTAATGCTACATTTCTTATTTCAAGCGCCTAGAAAAATAATGTAGTTATGTCAATATTGATGAAAATCTAAAAGAATAACATCTTTACTTTGTATATTCACTCACAAATACATAAAAAACTGCCTATGAATTCATCGACAAATAAAAAACTGAAGATAATTTTCAGCATCGAGACCTGAAAACTACTTGCGATCAGGATTCAGGAGTACCATCTGTACCGAAACAATAACATAGAAGGTGACACGTGACNGTAGCGACCTTGTAACTTCTACTGAGCACAACGTGTTCTACTGAGCACAACGTGTCTTTCAGTAGATTCCTCTTGCTTATCCGTGAGTGACGCGCACAATTAACAATATTGGGATTTTCTCTGTGTTGCCTGACGTAACGTTCATGCCGAGGCCGATTTCTGACGACCTGCAAACCTGTTTCTAGTTGCCACTTGCCTGGAACGTTTTTTTTTTCAAGGCGGAAAGCTTTTTTTTTTAAGTGAACCTCTAATCTTAGATTTCCACTCTGCTGACAAGAATTTATGGGTCGGTACAATGGAAGGAACATGCGAATATAACTATTTTACGAGCAGTGAAATTTACGCACTGATGCTATAAGCGCCACTGTCCAAGTTGATTCATCCGCATTTGAACACTGCTTGACTCCGTTCATTAATCAAACTAACTAAATTCATATCATTAAACGAAACCTTTTAATTCAATATAGAAGAATACATGAAATGATTACGCATCTTTTTCAATGATGAAATTACATTGCAGAAGTAAATTTTCATAAAAGGCAAATTTTCAAACTACATATGTCTAATCAAAATATGGCAAACCTTTTTTTGCTGCCATCACCCTGTCTAGAACTCTACTGTGCACATATTTTTGAGACGCGCGACCACGTTGATCATAAAAGATCGTCTCGAAATGAACCGGGACAGACGTAACGAGACAAGAAAATTCCGGGAAAAAAATAACGGGACAGAGGGTAAAATTTGTCCCGGAATAAACATATGAACCGAGACAAGAATTCTGTCCCGGACTTAGAAACTTGTGTCCCGGTAAATTATGAACCGGGATGAGACAGACAGATTTGAAATGAGACATAACAAGACGAGACGAGATTTGTCTTAATCGAACGCTTCACTTTCATGGTGGTTCTCATGTGCTTCAAATCTTTTGTCAGAAATAAAACCTCTTTCTGAAAAAAGTACCATATAAATATTCCTATGAGTCATCAGAGTGAGAAAATATCCAGCCATGAGGCCAATAACACGATATAATTAAGTGAAATTTCTTCAGTGAAGCAAGCATCGCTAGGCGATGGCAGCCGCAACACACCTCGACTGAACGTCGTTCATGACTCGTCTGCAACGCGTATTGCTGTTGTCTCGTACGGAAGAGCATAACTTCATATATTATTGCTAATAGGAGGCCAATGCAGTATTTCATACCTCAAATAGTATCTTTGAAATTTATCGTTTGTCTGCGAGATATTTTTCTTCAAAGTGTACTATTAAATTATAATGAGAAAGGTAATGCGTTTCTGTGCGGTGGTGTCTGCCGTCTAGCACCTTCAGCCTGAGCCCTTGCATGTTAATTATTTAAAGACAAAACAAGTTTTTCGATTACGATATGAATCATTTCGAAGCCCGGAATTCCTACGGAGGGCTGGAAATTATCCCGGTTTTTATTGCGAACCGGGACAGAGCCTGTTGTCTCGTCTCGGATAAAAAAAATACCAAACGCAGGAGTCCAGTGGTTAATTTACGCGAAGAACCCAAAAGAAAAGAAATACATTCTATTCGTTTCTATTGTATCATTTGTATGGTATATATTCAATTCACACTTGTTGGTTCTACGTCTGAACTAACCAGCGGACACGTACGCAAAACGCTACTTTACAGCAACTTACCCTATCATTTGATTCACTTCATTACTTGTTTAGTTATGAACGCATCTTCTTGAGATTCAGGAAATAAGTCATAGAACCAGTTATTGGCAATGGGCAGGTTTACGAATTATTAGTAACTTTCAAGTCACTTAGTTAATACCTACTTGATATTTAAATGAAAAAAGGCAATTTTTTTGCAGCCAAACAAATTACAATTTTGCCTAACCTCCCTTCCTTAAAATTACCTTTTAATAATAAATTAAACTAAATAATGTATAATGAATTAGGAATCATAATTCAAAGGGCTGGGAGGCGGCAACAGGCAAACGCCCAACGGGCAATGGCAGTCGGTAAGAATCCTTCGACACACACGAAAATAATTAAACGTGGAACCCACCTTCGAGGTGGCCAATTAGCCGTTTACGATCAGTCGACATGAAGGAAGCTCCAAAATATTAATTACTGAACATTAAGTTCGTCAGCTGCGCTTGAAACACACGATCGATCCACATCCAACACGTCTGGCTGTCTAAACATAACTGATGAAAATTTCGAAGTTTGCTTCGGTTCAATACGCTGCAGTCTGTACTGCAACTCAGTCAAGTGCAGAAATTACACCGGCTGGATGCAGTGCTATCAACAAAATTTCTAGAATATGACATAGAAAGAGACAGGGCTTGTTGAAATAACAGAGTAGGGTACAATTTGTTCACCGCTTTCATTGATCAAATGACGTTTAAATCCTTGCATCAAGTTATAAATAATTAACACCTTCTGTCCAAACGTGGACAACCGGCCTTACATTTATGCTGTATTTGGTTCAATTGTAAGACGATATACCAATACGAGGGTAATTGTTTTTCACTTTTGCTGGCTTAAAACCTTCTATATACTGCCGTAAACTCAATGAACATTCCTACTCGCATTTCGTTTGTCTCGTCAATTGTCATCTGAGGAAATTGGGTATCGCTATGACATAGTGAAACCCTGAAGTCTAACTAGTTCTTTGTACTACTGTACTAGTAGAAGGCTCATTCTTTCGTGGCTGTGAGCCTGTGATAGCGCGTCGCGTCATTTCTACCTACCGGGTGGGTCAGCTGAGACTGAGAGGAGTCTCCGGTAGCGGAGTCACCGAAGGTGAATTTATACATTTGTTACGAATTATTTTAAGGTAAATTTGTCGCCAATATCTTCTGAAGGCATAAAATTAGCTGATAATTAGTCGCCAAAGATATTTGAATATTCTGACACTTTGTCCACAGTGGGGATTTTGTAAGAGATCTTGAACATTCTCACGGAATTGCTATGTTTTCACGATTCATCATTTAAACAACTAACATCTCAATTTCGTCTAAAAAAAGATTACTCATTACGTTGCCTTAATCCTTGAGCATAGAAAATAAACACCTAAATTGTTTTAGTGTACTGAATTACTGCATCCATCGCACCTTCTTCAACTCCACAGTGCACGCTATCAGTTCCGTCTCCTACGATGCGGATGTGAGCAGCTACTTTATATAATGCAGTAGCTACTCTAAAAATAATAGAACCGATGTTTTTTAAGAAACAAAGGTACACATTTTAATCATACAATAATAAATACGAAAATAAATACGAAAACTTCAAATTAGTTGAACATACTTGTGATGTAT